CACTTGAGTTCAGAAAATTCACTTTTCTGTATGAAAGGTCAACTTATTGACAGCCAAAGGAGAGCAACATAGATGGAAGTTGAGCACTGTATTGCCAGCTTTTGGAAGGGGAGTTGACGTTCATGGAGAAAACTCTCCTGAAAAGGCACACGTGAAGTTCTACCTGCATTCAAGCACTGCCCCAGAGCAGCTGCATTGCCTCTGCTCCCTGAAACCAGCTCCTGCCCTCTCCTGAGCCCATTCTGACCTCTCCATCACACCATGGTGCACATACACCACAGTTCAGAATCCAGCAGCATAAAGCTACAGGTGACAGTAGTAAGGTACTGTTAAGTCTTTATTATTGTTACTGCTAATTTGTTGTTACTGTGTGCAGTTACCGTGCCACTAGTAAGAGCTGTGGATGGGGCCCTAGAGAGCATTCACTGTGCAAGTACGAGCTCTCTGCAGGGTATGTTAGTCCTCTTAAGGCCAGCGCGCCTGCTCTCACCAGCACAGCAGTTTCTCATTGCCACTCCAAAAATACTTCAATGTGCATGCAAGCCTCTTTTCACACTTACATACACTTTATTCTAGTGGCATGCAGAAGTCAAAGCTTTTGCTTTTTTATTTGGGTTTTTTTTTCCCCCTGACCGTTCCTGAGGGACTGTACATAGCATTGTAAAAAATATCCCGGTTTAGTTTCACCACCTCAAGCCCACGGAGTAAGAAGCCCCAAGATCAGTTTCTGCCTCTGTCCAGGCTGCGCACTGAGCTCGGCCGGAGCAGAGGGACAGGGAGCAGGTGACACAGGACAAGCGGGTCATGCCAAGGGCAAAGACCCCTCATCTACTTAATGACCAATTAAGGATGGTTCCTTCTAGTCAAGACAATGAGTGAAAACAGGGAATGAAGTTTGGCTCAGATTCTTACAAAAAAACCCTGACACTACAGCGAAGGTCATTAAATGCTTTTATTGACGGAAAAGTTTTTGTGGTTGAGCTTACGGAGGACTGGAATTTCCTACCTTGCTCCACCGCAGCTATAAATTAACTTTCCCCTACCCTCCTACTGAGGGAAAATGTCCAGCTGCTACTGGGGAGCAGCGGGCAAACGTGGGCTCATGGATGGACCTTGTGGTGGGAGGAAGGACTCCGTATCCAAGGGGGGACACAGCGGGGCTACAGAAGGGACCGTACTCCTTCCTGCTGGGCTGGGAGGAGCAGCCGGCATTGCAAAGGAAGGGACACACAGGCGACGGGGACGAGGTGAGGGAGACAGAGAGGTGAACACAAACAGCCAGTGGCGCGGGGCAAGGAAAGCTCAGCTGCAGCATGGAGAGCCCTTGGCAGTGACCGCTGCCAAGGAGTTTGGGGTTGCATGAATCTTAATTGCTTGGGTTTTCCCTCACCAGTGCAAAACAAACACGATACAAGTTCTTAAACAACTTTTGAACCAAGCCGGCTTTATCAAACATAGCATGCTGCCTTCCTGCCTGCCAGAAAATGCCGCCGGCTCTCTCCTGCCGTGCTCCTTGTGCCCACCCCTGCCTTACCTCTCCCTCGCCTTTGGCCTCCCTCCCTTCCCTCTGCCTCCAGCACTGGTGGCTGCTTTTTTTGTCAGGGCCCTTTGGTAATACAGTGGGGTTCAGCAAAACCTTCAAGCATCCACCGAGGGACCTTCAGCCTAGATGCTCGGTGCAGCGCATTTGATGAATGGGCTTCACAAATAGCAACAGCAAAGTGTTAGCCAGAAAGTAGCAAATTCCTCAGACTGCACAGCCCCATATCTTACAAGATCTTAAACCTTTGTGAAGCCTGAGGGTGCAGAGCCATGACCAGGAAGCGTGCTTATGGCGCAGATCTGTGTCACCTGCAGCGGCCGCTGACGGCTCGCTGAACCTCCCACCACGGGCTCCACATCTCTGCTCCTTCCCCTGCCCCAAACCCTGAGCTGGTAAAAAGTAATTTCTTTTTTTGGGTGGCCAAGCTGGCATGGCGTGGGTGAGTAGCAGTGTTGGTGGTTGTGCAGTCTTAGCACGTGATAAATGCCAGGTACCTCATTCCCCAAGCAAGCATGGTGAGATGCCTACTTGTGTTGTGGGGCAGGGCTGTGTCAATTGTATCATAGTCAATTGTCCTAGTATCTAAGGCAAATAGGGACCGTTGTGGTCTTCTAGTTTATGCAGTAGACACAAATTAAAGGATTAATCATTGACAGAGCTGGTGGAGCTGTGTGGCAAGAGGAGGTGAAATACCAAAGATAAAGACCGTAATGTGTTGGGCTTGTGATGCACCCGACTCCGTTAAGAGCTGTTAGCTCTCCTTCCTGGAATTGCCATATTGCAAATAACGGACCAAAAGAAATAAAACAGGATGGACTGATCTGCAGCATGCTGCACTGCTCCTCGTGTGACAGCAGCATGCCTTGGTTATCTTTCCACACACATTACACAGTAAGACCACTGATGTTTTTTCTGACCGACCAGCTAAAACATCTACTTAATTATACTCCAGGCAGACTGAAAACAACAAATGGAGGTCTGTCAGCATGTTTTGTCTAGCCCTTTTAGGAACAAGTCTCTGAGGTTTTTGGAGATCATTTTTAAGAAGCTTTTCCTCTCCACTCCCTTCCAAATGGCCCAGTGGCTTTTGTTGGATTAAAGTGCAGTCAGGCATCACAAAAGCAGGGATATGTTTAGCTTCCAGCCCAGTTTCTGCGTAATGCCTGGTTTGTGAGGGGTAATTCCAGTTGTTTGTGCTGCGGTGGGACTGTAATTGCTTTCTATCATCAGCAAAGTCCCATCTGCTGAGGATCTGCCAGGCAACGCACTGGCTGTGAGACTCACCCTGATGTTGCACTGCAATGTGAGATTATGGGGAGCTTCCGCTGCTGAAATTACATAATTAAAAGGAGCACAGTAGGTGATGAGAGCTGCAGGATCACTGCACAAAGCTCCTTGGGAAGGCTGGATGCTGTCTTTCAGCAGAGTCCGGAAAGGTATCAACAAAAACCAGTCTGCAGGGAAAGAGCAGAGCGTGTGACTGGCACAGCATCGCTTCCTAAAACCTCAGAGGAGGAATGCATGTGGTTAAACCCTGAGACTTCAAAGAAATAAGATGAAGGAGGGTTCAATGCTAGCAAAATTGAAGGCTTTTAAAGGAAATAAATGGCTTTGTGTCTCATGGAAGGGGTAGAAGTCCCAGGAGCAGAACAAATGATAGAGGAGGTTTCGGAGAAGAGACAGAGGAAGCCAAGCCTGGAAGAAAGAAGTGAATAGAAAAGAATGAAAGAAAATAGATGGTGAAAATGGAGTGCACTAAGGCCTTCTAAGGCTTGGCAATACTCTTGAAAGTTAATTGGTATTTACATTTAGGGGTGCTTTATGGCCTTGGGTTTATTGATATCAAAAAATCCCACTCCACCTCATAGAGCTACATAAGCAGATGCTGTCTATAGGAGACAGTCGTGGCCATAAATCCAGAGGCACTGTTAAACTGCAAGCAAATACAAATGCAAAAACCAAATACACCAGCAAGGTCCAGTAAGAGCAATGTGAGACCATACCGTAATAATTTCCCTCTCTTTCCTCAAGTCCAAATACACAAAGGCAAAATAACCAGTTGTGCAAGAATGAGGTTTGAGGAGCCCTGGGGCCTCTCTGTTTTGAGGCTGTTTGACAGCACACTGTGGCACACCTCACCCCATCTCCAGTAGCTGCTTCCCCATTTTAGGCTGAATGTAATGACAAAAGGTAGCAACGGAGCAGCAGTGAGGGTGGGCACAGCGGTGGGGACGGCTGCTGCCAGTGGGGCAGAGCTGCAGGTTCATGGTGACGTAGGGAGCAAGGGACAAGAGGGAGCTGGAGGGTGAAGGACACGAAGGGTCGGGTTGGGGGTCCGAAGGAGGGTGAGGAGGTTGTTGAAGTCTTACTGTGTCTCTCAGTGATAACCTGTGACAGGTACAACACGGTCACTGAAGTTCATGCTCTCTCCCATTGACCATCGCTTGTGTTTGGAAAACAAAAGCTTTTGCAGTGTTTTTTGGGGGTTCTTAAATCTCACCGATTTCCGTCACGTTGTTGCAAAGCTGAGCTGGGAGACAGCTAGTGTTTAATCCCTACTGAAAACAAATCAAAACAGGAAACCATTTTGCCTCCGAAGGGCGAACGCATTTGTGGTGAATCCTTCAGAAGCGAGCACCAGCTACCGAGCCTTAGCTCAGCTCCCGCCTGCCGCGCGCCGGCGTCCGACTCAGCCCTCGCTTGCAAAAGCTGAGTGCCACTCGCCGAGGAGCTACGGGGCGAGGACTCAGTAGGAAATCCCTGCTACACTGAGGTAGTTGGGATACTTGGGTGTCTGTTCTTCTCTTACCCGTTCCTAACTGCCCGTAGTATTATCTAGGTATCAGGTATATGGTGAATAATAACAGCAGAGGCTGCCAAAAAAAAAAGTTTTGTCGGCAAATTTTTGAGGATATTATTTATTTCAAAATTTCCTGTTATTTTTTCTTAGACAAAACCCCAGACAGAACAAAAACAGAGAAATGTTGTTTCTTAGAAAACAGATGCAGTAAAAATGTTACATTTTAGATAAAATGCTTAGTGTTAAAATTCTCAGTATGCAAATATTCTTTTAAATCAAATATTTATTGTTTTATAGCTTTTCAGTATGCAACAGGAGTGTTAATAAACAGAACGTTTCATGAAAATAGTTCTTTTTGGTTAAAAAGGCATTTCATTTTCTTGGAAGAAAAAATAAAACCTGAATTTCAACCAAAGGTTTTGACGGGTTCTCTAAGAATCCATGTGCTGAGTTGAAATATGTGCATGCGTATGTGCAATCCATATAGAGGTGCCATATATGAGAATGATTATTTATACTCTTAAATTTCTTACATAATCAGTTAATTTGCTTCTGCTCCATTAAAATTAAATCTCCCGTGGACAGGACAATCTTGCCTAATTATTCACTTAATACACAATCATTAGCATTAACCTAGTGCTTTTCTCTGTCTTTTAGAAAAAAAGGACGTTGAAGGGTTACGTGGAACTTTCCAGGATTAAATGTGTGGAAATTGTGAAAAGTGACATCATCATTCCCTGTCAGTATAAATATCCCTTCCAGGTGAGTCTGTCTGTTGACCATACTGATAGAGATACCGCTTCATTTTGTATTTCAATAAAACTCTCCCTCACGGTACAGTCATGAGGGAGACCAGAGTGAACACCAGAGCGAACAGCAACAAAGGAAGAGAAAGCAGATGGAGGGTTGAAATGAACTGTGGAATCAGAGAGCAAATGCTATTACAAGATCCATAAACTCTTATCCTCATTGGTTTTAAATTGGAAAGGATCATTAGATCTTCTAATCCCATCGCATGTTTAACACAATATCCAGCTATCCCACTAACTCATGTTCAGAGAAAGCCCATCTTTCACATGGGGGATCCACCCAGGGTTTTGACCCATTTAGCTGTGTGGTGCTGAAACTAAATCCATTCCGTGGCCTTTGCATCAGAAACTGGTGAACGTGATGCATTAGGGAGACTATGCCAGACAAGAAGAGAGAGGAGTTTTAGTGATGAGATGGCTTAACGACCAAGAGGCGGACAGTGCTAGCACTAGGATGAGAACACATTGTCTACTGTTAATTATTAATACATTGCTATGTAAACCTAAGTGCCACAGAATATTTCCGCAGTTATTGCAACGCAAATTCCTAGTTTATTATGTTATTCCCTGTGCTGCCATTTATCAGAATTTTATGATATTGGTGACAGTATTTTTCTTAATAATTTTGGTGTATGGATTTCAGTGAATACAAGACCATCTCTGTTCACAGGTGGCTTTAAACGAGTGAATTATCTAGATGCAGATTTGCAGATAAAAGCTAATGATTCTGACCCATGTACACGATAAATGTCAAAAAAGATAACTTTATGAAAAGAAAAGAGACAACCATAAAGCAAGATTTTTATATTTTTTTGCCATTCTTGTTATCTCAAAACCAGCATCAATTTGGAGGTTTGGCTTGGCTTGGCTTGGCTTGGCTTGGTACCGTCATTCTGACAAATCATGAAGTAGCTTGTAGAGTTTTCTCTAATTCTTCATTTGAACAGTAAAAGTGCATATCCACCATGCTCTACTCTGAGCCCAGGAAAATGTTACCTTGCAGAGATATGAGAAGGGAGAGCAAATAATTTCCCAAACTAGGTTGGGTCAGGAAACCCTCCCTCCAGCTTGGAGTGGTCCCCAGCCAGGATCATAAAAATTGTCCTGGAATATTACAAAACGTTGCTAAGTTGGCGCACTCAAGAGCACTCAAGAAACCAGATGATCAGAGTGTTACGACCTTGTTTGTGGGCACTTGGGAGCAGCAGAAGACACTGTCATACGCTGCCAACCGCTGTCGATGGGCAGCCCGACAGGAAAGCTCGTCACTGGGGCTGGGTAGGAGCTGCCTGGCTGGGGGAAAGCTTGATGGGGGAACCTCAACTGCTCTTCACTTGAGTGAACATGGACTAGAGAAGGGATTAATGCTCAGATCTCTCTGGTTTCAGTCTGAATTTTCAAATCTATATCTCCCTATCTCCAATGCTTGTAGGAACGGCAAAATAAAGTGAAGGTAGTGGCCAGTACTGGTGGGATGGTAACAGTGGGCCAGTTGTGACGGACAGTGCTCCGCTGAGATTGTGGTAATCGCCCCTGCTTGTAGCACATCTGAATCTTGTCCCACAGTCAGTTTTGTGGTATTTTGTAAAATTATATTGCCTATGGGGTTTTTTTTTAAATATCTTGGCTGCACCCAGCTGTAAATCTTCTGTAGAACCACCGATGGCTTTTTGGTTTTATGTGGCTCATCTGACAAGTGAGCCCCTTGCAGAGAGGCATGAAATGAGTGATTTTGTGTAGTTGTGCGTGCTCATGGCTTCATCTTTTGGAGATCTGCTTACCGCATATTTCAAAATCTGCCTTAGATTGTCAAAACATTATACAGACATAACAATAATACCAACAGGAGTGGCGTTAAATGAGTGGGAATTATTCCTCCCCTGTTTCTATTTTTTGTAAAAGAGGTTATAATTTATCTCTCCATAGCATGCAAAGCAACTGAGTCACACGGCTGTCTGTGTGTGCCTGCAAGGGCTTCAGGCCAAGAGATAGCAAATGTTTCCTGTTCTTTAAACAATAATCAACATTGCCTCATCTACACCCCTGGAGAAATTTTTAAAAACAGCTGCTCTCTTGTAGAAACCTCTGTTTGAAGACAGTGGTCAAAGTTTTTCAAAGCATCTGTGCATCAAAGAGACCAGGTCCCGTTTGGAATTAAATTGTTGAGATAAATATTGGAAGAGAAATACAGATTATGCGTTACATCAAATTTTAGGCCCAAATGTAGTCATCCGATTCAGTTTCTGAGTCATTTCGGCTCTTGTGATGATTTTACTCCCTGGTCTGAAACTTCACATATGTTCTGTATTTCTTCATTGGTTCATCATTAAGGCCAAGTTGATGAAAACAGCATCTTGATTGCTCATTGTTCATCTGCTCCAGCTTCTTAGTTCCCCCCTATAATCCCAGTGGAAGCTATTAAAAACTTTGAAGAATAATAGTAATCCAAATAATCTCCAGGGAGTTGCTTGAGATTTATACTGACACAAGAAGAGCTAAATTTGGCTCTTAGATCTTAAGCGAAGGTATCTTACAAGAAACTGCTAAGAAACAGATGCCATTTCCCCCGAGATGCTTTAGAAGAATAAACTGCAGTCAGTGAGTAACAGGCTGAATCCTCTGCAGATTGAAATTGCTACGTCTCCATTGATTTCATGGGCATTTCTTAACAGCATAAAATTGATCTATAACATTGCTTGTCAAGAATTCTTTCTTGATCAGGGCTTCTACTCCGTTTTAAATAATCAAGTCAATGAGGTTAAGAGATGCTTCTGAGCAGGCCCTGTTACTCTACTGCCCCACACCATCGTTTTGTGTGTAATTTGTTGCTATGGGAGCTGCTATCTGTTTCCTTCAGTGATTCCTTCATGCCCAGCCTATCTGGGATTGTCTCTAATGGCTGGCTCCCTTCTTTGCTCCCCTCTCCAGATCGTCCATGATAACTACATACTCTACGTGTTCGCGCCCAATCGTGAGAGCCGACAGAGATGGGTCTTTACACTGAAGGAAGGTAATAAGTCCCCTGTGCCCACCTAATTGTTGAAGTTACTTATCCCAGACAGTTTTCTCACAAGCTATAAGGCAGAGAAAATGTGCGAGAGGAGTCAATGTCTTATACCTAAGCATGCAAAGTGGTAATGGGGAATAAGGTTATAAAATCCAATTGCTTGTAAATTTGGTGGATGTGCTTTCAGCAGCAGTGGAAAATTTGGATGTGGAATGCTTTATTCACCTCTTTCTAGGATAAACTGTTAATATGTTACTGTAATTTGAGGGTTTTTTTTCAGGAAGAGATGAGGATTTTTCTATGGCTAATTATTTCAAGAACTTAATCTTTTCTGCATAAAAGATTTTTCAGCTCTTATTAATAAATTATTTTTTTTAGATGACAACCTTCTTAGAGAATCATGATTATTAAGAAACATTTTTGCGGGTAGCTTTTATTTCCTGTTCACCTCCTGAATTGTGCTGTGGTTCACTGCAATGGTTCTGAAGTGAGAGCACAATAACTAACCACTGCAGGCAGAAATGAAGCATAATACTTGACATAAGAAAGGTGTTAGTTACATGAAAACTGCACCATGCTTCCATCATAGCTTTTCCTGCTTTAAAACACAAGCTGCTGCATTGTTCACTCTGAAAACATTGTGCCTGATTGAGATAATATTAAGTTCATGCACTGATTCTTGCAACCAATTATTCCCCTTCGGGAGTGCACTTGCTCCCAGCTTCTGCTTTTATCACTGCTTCTCGTTCAACATTTTGAGACTGTCCCCTTCCTTGGACAATTTGAATAGTCTCTTGAAACAGGCCAGCAGAAATTTTTTGTTCTTTTTAGAAAAATTATTATTAGAGATAGAGAGCCTGAACTTCAAAAAGAAGGACCTTTAATCACTCATGCAGACATTCAAGGTTGGTATTTAGATGTGCAACAAGTGTTTAGTGCTGGTGAATGCCAGCTTGTCCTTCCGAACACCAATGTCGTGTCCTACATCAATACGTATTGTAGAGCTGTAGTTTTTCATGGGTATCATCAGTATATGGCCTGCAGGATTTTATTTCTCTTTATGAGACCTTCCTCCTGTGGTTTTGGTGTTTATCAGTTTAAAGAGACAGTCACTTTGGTAGGGTTCTGTTCTCCCACAATAGAGAGGTATGGGCTCCATCACCAGCACGAAGGCTATTCCTCCACATCGATGGTGGCAGTCACTCCTTTCAGGAGAAAGGAAAACATTAACAGAGGAGGCTGATAATATTCACCAAAGCTTCCTTTGAAAATAATAAGCAGCTTCTTTAAAGTGCAGATTATTTCCAATCAGTTCTAGATGTCTTTCAGAACTGATGTGAATGCAAATAAATTAATTTTCCCCCTCCTTTTTCTTCCTCTAACGTTTTCCAGAAACCAGAAACAACAACAGTTTGGTTTCAAAGTGTCACCCAGATTTTTGGATAGATGGCAAGTGGAGATGCTGTGCTCAGACAGAGAAGATGGCAGCTGGCTGCGTGGAGTATGACCCCACCAAAAATGGTATGGGATTTAAGACCATCCTGACCTTGAAAATATTTATTCTTAGCAAAAGTAAAGGATCAAATCTGTCTCGTAGAGAACATCAAAGAATATTGTGTTACATTTCCATCAAGAGAGAGACATGTTGCTGCCTTCTTGGGGCATTCCTTATTCTGGCTTATCTTTTACTGATATGACATTCTTTGCTTTGAATTAACATTTCCCTCTGTGAGATGCTTGGTGCTGTCTTTGGAATGAGATGGAGAACTAAGAACTTGATCAGCTGTGCTCGGTCAATAAGCCGTAACAACTTTCTTCAGATAAATGCATTCAACCCTGTGTGTCCTATTTTGTCCTAACTGTATTTCCTCTGTGGTTTCAATAGCCAAGCGCAATCTGTACTTTGTCTTTTGAAAAACATGTGAGCAGTCAATCAGTTTTCACTTTTGCCTTGTATCCAGGTGATTCCTTAAGTTATCTATACCCCAGTTTCAAACCCATGCTGTGTGACCAAGAGTCGCTGTGGAGGTATAGGCTGTTGGCACCTCTTACTCTAAAAGACCAAGGCTTGCTATTCACTGGTTTTGTGTCACCTTTATTAGTCCATTACTTTGGTGTTTTCTCCCCTGGTTTTGTCCAGCTCTACTTCAAATTAGCTTTCTTGATTTCATTTCAGCCTCAAAGAAGCCTCTTCCTCCAACTCCTGAAGATAACTGGGTGAGTGCAGTGAGGCACACTAAGCTGTCCTTAGTGCCCTGTGTATTTAACTAGCAGCAATGCAAATATTCTCATTAAGGTTCATCACAGTGTAGTGACCTAGAATATCACCTGTGCTAACATTCCCTGGGCTTTTCTCTAACCTTTCCATATTTTTTCATAAGCTATAAATCAGCAGCATCCCATCAGAGTTAGGTTCAGTCCTGCAAAGACAGCTTGGTTTCACAAATAACTCTCCAATAATGAGTGAAGCTTCAACTGTGGGGTGGGTTGTTTTTTTCAATCTATAGAAAGGAAAACTGGGGAAGTAGAAGGGATATGAGAAAAGCTGCTGTGAAGAGGAACAGAGAAGTGATTTTCCAAACCCACTTGTGGATGGGACAAAATGTCACTGGCTTACTCATGAGAAGGGAGAAGGAGGGTGGTTGTTAGGGCTGGGTGCATTACTACAGGGCAGCGAGGCATCGGGACAGTCCCTCTAGGGAGGCCATGGAGATTTTATCACTGGAGGCTTTTAAGAAGAGTTTAGGAAACATCCGTGAAGAATAGATCAGACAGAGGTAATCCTGCCCTAAGAAGGAGCAGGTAACTATTTTCTGTGCAACTAAAATTTGTATATGAAATTCATTGTTTGAAAGTGGTGAAAAGTCTTGCATTGCTGCCATACCCCACTAGATGCCCTGGGGTGCTTTCCTGGCTTTGAGGCTTTTGAACCCCAAGGACACCAGTGCTGCCAGAGAAATATCGTTCTAGAGAGCATGCCATTGGGTTTTATGAATATGAATGTGAATATGATGAGCCTTTTTCCTAATTTGTGCAGAAATTGTTGCTAGACCCAAAGGAAGCCATAGTCATGGCCATATACGACTATGAAGCCCAGAATCCGCAGGAGCTGACATTACAATATAATGAGGAATATTATGTGATTGACAGCTCTGAGGAACATTGGTGGCTGATTCAAGATAAGAATGGGTAAGTCCCTTTTCTACAGCCAATTTACAAATCCTTTCTAAATCAAATTTGTTCTTCCATTAATATGTATGCTGGTCTCTAGTATAACTTCCGTGAAGCATCTTCTGATATGTAGGAAAATAGTGATGGATGGTAATTTATGGTAACTTTCTTCCCTTTAATGTAGCTTGTATCCAGGCAGCTGAAGAAAAAGGATCTGAAAGTTAATTAAAAACAAAACAAAACAAAAAAAAGCAGTCCTTAGCTCAGGCTGATATTTTCTGTTATACATGTAGGGAGAAAATTATGAAAATTGTGAAACTCTCTAAGTTTCGAGGTGCAATCAGTCGTTTCCTTCTCCGAGTAACCCTACTAAGTACATAACAACCAGCATTTCTGTCATGCAAAGAGCAAGCAAATCTTTCAGGGCTGACTCCCACAGATGCAGAGAAAATCCTGCCTATCTAGCGTGCTCACGCTGTGTCGCATTTTAACAGGCATGAAGGCTACGTGCCAAGTAGCTACCTGGCGGAAAAATCACCCGAGAATCTGCAAATATATGAGTAAGTTGTGCCTATGTTTTTCTTGTACCTCTAAGTGCCCTGGATTTGTTATAGAAGCTACAAGCCTCCAATGTCCCTACCCCACATAATGTGTCATCGGTAGTGCTGGGGACACTCAATTCAGAGGCTGTTCAGCAGAAACTTCAACAGCCTAGAAACGCTGACTCGGAGTCTTTTGATGTTTTCAGATGGTACAATAAGAACATCAGCAGAAGCAAAGCAGAAACACTCCTCAAGGATGAGGTAAACCAGCATTACGTGTGGGGTGGATGGGCAATAATAATTAATTAATGACAAATGAGGAGAAGCCTGCGAGGGCTCCTTTCTGTAAGAGAGTTCTGAACCCTGGGTTCCTGCTGTGTTGCTGTCCTTAGCCGTTCCTAGTGTGCAATGCAAGATAAAGGACCACTAGCAATCCCCACCTTTCTCCACAGCAGCTGAGCATGGGCAGAGAGCTGTGCCATCCTTCTTCCGTCAAACACACCCAAGAACTGGGGCTGATGGAAAACACTTTCAGAATACTGTGTTGACTGAAAACTCTGATTTTAGCTCATCTTTTCTCTCTGCAGGAGGCCTGCGGATGCTAGTAGTCCTCTGAAAATCTAACCAATCTCATGCTGAAATATTTTGGCTGAAAGCCAAGAGCATGGGTTTGGGTGGGGTTTTGAGGTTTGTGTGTGTGTGTGCACATGTGAGCACACATTTTTAATTTTGCTGTTGAGCCAGACTTTTCCAGTGAAGACTGTAGTGAAAATAAAAAGAATACACTTCTTGTTCAGATTTTCCACACAAACACAACCTTAGTTTTAAAATCAGCTCTTACACTAACAGGAGACACAAACAAAGTGTTGTTTCTTGGAATGATAGTATTTGATGGAAATAAAAGCATTTTTGTGTGGTTTAAAAAATGCTTTTATTTCCTGTAAACTCCTACATGTCCACGCACAGTTTAGTGATCTTATTTTTCCTTTTGGTCCTACCAGAGCAACTTTAGTGTGGCAGCTGCACCTGTGTGGCTGCAGGGACTTCTAGTTCAAAACCTCACAGCCCCCACAGCTCCCCCAAAAGTGTGGCCAAGCTCACGAGTGATCTTTGGGCAGGTTTGCTGTCAAGTGAGATGGAAGGGCAAGAACAGAGCTCAAAGTAACATAGGCAGGATGCTGTCTCCAATACTTGCCTACCTGTGCAAGCAATACCACACTGCCAGGGAGATGAGTCTAAAGCCCTCACTGTGCATGATATAGATGCTTCTACAGCAGCACCTGGAGACCCTTTTTAGAGCTTCCTTGTATTGTATAGTGCAGATATGGTAGTTCTTGGGCAGACACGCATTGAAGAGACAACCCTAGGAGGTTTATAGCTCAGTGGCCCAGTCCCACCTGGGCAGAGCTGCCACCAAAAGTCAGCAGTTCACATGCAGGGGATGCGGTACCGTCTGCCCCTGTGTTCGCCAGGAGCTGAATCCCACCACCGGGGAGGTGGGAAGGAGGCCAAGGCAGGGTGCACTTGGTGGATTAGGTTTGCACCAAGTGTTGTGGGTGGATAGAGGACATATAAAACGGAGGAAATCTACCATGTAAAGCAAAGAAGGGAACAAAATAATCAGGCACTTGGGATGCCACAGGAAAAGCATCTTTATCTGTAAACAGAAGAAAAATGTGGGGTTTATTACCAATACATAGGTCAGCACAGCACACTACATCCAAAGTGTGATATTAAATCTTCTTCTCTGCCATCTGATCCATTAGTGCCTGGCCCTGCACGATCATGGCCTATGATTTTAGCATTGAGATGAGTAGAGAGCAATTACAGTGGAAAATTAAAAAGGAAAACTGTTCTGTGAGTGCCAGAGTGGAGGAAGCCTGCTTTCCTACACATTTATGCTTAGATACTGGATGACTGGGTACCTATGAAAGGGCAGGATCCTGTCCAAGCTTTTCACATCTCTGGTCCATGGTAAATTATCTTTCAAACACTCTCATTTGGGTTCTCTGGTGTTGAATAATTTGTACTCTCGTTCTGTAGCTGCTTTCTCAACGGAGGGCACTCAAAGGGGTTTGCCTTTCCACTTGGCTGCACATTTCATTGAACTTGTCTGCAATTAATACCACCAATTCTGTCAGATAGGGTTGAATGCAATCAATGGGTTCAAAATTTCTCGAGGAGAGGCTTGGAGGGACAGAGAGACAGATGCTGATGTACCCACAACCACACAGACTCAGCATGAGCGCAGAAGTCTCATTTCCTCAGGAAACTGAGTTAAAAATACGTAACACCCAAGAGAGACCAGTTGGGTGTACCTGCAGGTCCTGGGCAGCCATCAGAGCTGTGCATGGAACAGACCAAGCTCTGTCAGTTGGCTGATCCCTCGTTTTTCCCCACATATTTAGCACATCTTTGTGACTGAGCAGTAGACAGGGCTGAAACAAGCAGACCTTTGCCCCCAGCCCACTTGTTTTCTTCCATTACGTCTCTAACCAGTTTTCTGTCCTTTGCTCCTGTTACAGGGAAGGGAAGGTGCCTTCATGGTGAGAGATTCGAGGCAGCCGGGCATGTACACAGTCTCTGTTTTCACCAAAGCATTAAGGTACAGCTGAGCTCAGCAGCTTTTCACATCAATTACATCAATGAAATGGCTTCTATGAGAGTGTAATCTCTGTAGTTGTTTTGGCATTATAAAGAGAGAGCAGAAGGCTCAGGAAAATGATAGAGGAAAACACTTCCAAAAAAGGCAGAAGAGTTAGCTGCCATTCGCAAAGTATATTAAAGGCTCCACTTCTCCCTGCATCCAAATATGTGCCTATAAATAGTCCCTTAGACATCACTGGGGTTGCAATTTTTATGAAATTGTCCCCTCAGCTGAAGTGTTGGTAGGATCAACGTGGACTATATGCCAGTCTCATCAGAGACTAGTGAAAGGGTTTCAGTGATGGGGCAGAAAGTTTTGTTTCAGAAAGAAGAGGCAGAGAAACTTAGTACTCTAAGTTTCTTATCAGGAAACCTCAGCCTTTCTAGAGATGAGACCATCTAGGAGCGAGAGGGAGAACATATAAGTACACAGTTTTTATTAGCAACTGCAGCTCACTCCTTGCTCCTCTCCCATTTGTTCTCCATAAGGAAGGTTCTCCCTTTTGCTCACTTGCTGCTCTTCCATTTATACCCCGCATTCCTGTCTTTTTGCTGCAACCTAGTTTTTCTCAAAGAAAACCTCCTCATTTTCAGCACGGATAACAATCCCGTTATAAAGCATTATCACATCAATGAGACAACTGACTTTCCCAAGCGATATTACTTGGCAGAAAAGCACGTGTTTGACTGCATCCCTGAACTCATCAACTATCACCAGCACAACGCAGGAGGTGAGTGAAGGCTGATGCTGACCAGGGAAGTTACTGTTTTACCACGCAGCCAGGTGACTGTTTTGCATGAAGGAAGGCTGCCAAGCCCTCTGCCCTTACAGTGAAATGTTAAATGGCATCACCTTTTCTTCCACTTATCCTGGCACTTGGATGGCAGGAAAATTAACATCTCGGGCCAACTTCCAGCATTACATCTTCATTCTGGTGGTCCTTCTAAGGCTGATATGACCAACACAGATGCCGTAATGACATACTATAGAGAGCCCTTTCATTCCCGGGAGCCCATGGGCATGTGTCACCACTGCCAGGAAAAGCTACTGGTTTGAATTACGCTGCAGGGCCTTCTTGCCCAGGAGGTGATATATCCCTGGGCCTTGATTTGACGCAAAGTTAGGGAGATGGCCAGGATCCATAGGCAGACATGGGAGTCACCAAAGACTCCCATCCCTACAGTCCAGGAGTACCAAGGGAAAACCTGGGTTTCAAAAATACCCTACAAATAAAAGGTATAATTTGGAATTTCATCAGAGCTAACAGAGACTCACAGCTCACATTTGCTGACAGACCGAAAATGGGAAATAAGCTGAAACTGCTCAGAACTGGCTTCCTTTTAGCAGGCAGGAAATTGCAGTCTGAATAGAGGTTCAGCTGCCCTCAAGTGGAGCTGGGAGCTCAGTACAATAAATCTGCTTCCAGTATCCAGACTGCCTTCTGGGGTAGTGACAGCCACACTTCCCAGGACTGTGACAATAACTGGAACCCATCTTTTCCTCTGTTATTCAGGTCTTGTCACTCGTTTGCGGTATGCAGTCTCTTCTTGGAGAAAAAAGGCCCCAATCACTGCAGGGCTGAGCTACGGTATGGTACTCTCATGACTATATGGGAATCACACTCCTCACTGGTTAGCTGGGTGATCCTGAATATCCTCATGGATACTGATGAATATTCATGTGACTATCGCCACAATAAATAGCTTTCTTCAGATCTTTACACTGCACTATTCACTAGATTATCATTTTTGTCATTACCATTGATAATTGAATGAACTGATCATGCAGTGCCTTGAGGGAGGTGATGAGAACCCCAGGGTCTCAATGAAGTCAACATTAAATACTAAAATAAATGCTGGACGAAGGTGATGGGAGTAGGAGCATAGCATAACTTGATGAAAGCTGAGTCCCTCCTGAAAGATGCCTCCATTTGCCTACAGTTGTCTACAGAATTTTGCTGGTATCATCTTTATTGTAATTCTTGGAGACATCAAAGAAACTCAAAACGACGTTGTGCTTGGTAGTGCACATATGCATGATAGAAACAATGCTCTCTGAAGAACTGGATAGACAAGACAAATGGGGAAAGAAAGAGGATGTTGTTATTCTTACTCAAAGGTCAGACAGACAATTTGAAGGAGAGCCAGAAAGTCTCGCTCCAAGTCCTGCCTCAACGTTTAACCCACAAAAGCCTTTTGTTTGACATTTTACTGCTAGATCCTTACTCTTTCTCCCTTACGATCAACAGGAAAATTGGTCATTCACCCCTCTGAGCTCACCCGTGTACAGGAAATTGGCAGTGGTCAGTTTGGGGTGGTCTACTAAAAAAAAAAATTTAGCCATAAAGACCATTCGTGAAGGAGCAATGTCTGAAGAGGATTTCATTGAGGAAGCTAAAGTCTTGATGTAAGTAGTAGATTCACCAAGAAAATCAGACCCTGTAGGATTCACAAGATAGATTGAACCAAAGTGTTGTGATAATGTTCAGGAATTTAATCTTGGATTATGCGCTATCTAAATAGTAGAGAGACAGACTGGTGAGCTCTGGTGGTTACGAAGGAAAGCAATTCAAAGTGTAGGTGAATTAATGTGCTCGTAAGTTTGCCAATATCCAGAATGGTCTTCCAGACTTCTGCCATTTTGGGGGGCAGGGTAATTGATGGTGTGTTTTAGAGAGAGAAGCATTTTTGTCAAAAATAACTAGAGGAAGAAAACTCACAAAATTTGAGGGAAATTTTATTGAAAAACCCTACCTGCAGAATTTTTTTGTTTTGCACAACTGAGAATATTTCTCTTTGGTTTTACTGACTGTATTTTTTACATTTCCCTCCCTTCAAAGTAGACAGAAATGGATTTTTTTGTTTGATTGGATGATTTTCCATGCAGAAAAGTATTTTGCCAACCATTACCATTAAAATGGGATGATACTTAGTGCTACTTGACGTTAGGCTTGGTCTACACATTTTCTTCTTTCTGCTTTTATAGTTGGCCTTTGCAGAGAGAGGGCTGCACATAGGCAGCCGTATATAAAACACTTGCTGTAAGGATAGAAGGCACTGAGCTTATTTCAGCCGCTTTTACAACTTCCCTCCTTATCCCACAGGAAGCTGTCTCACCCCAAGCTAGTCCAGCTTTATGGCGTGTGCTTTGAGAACGCTCCCATTTGCCTGGTGTTTGAGTTCATGGAGAACGGCTGCTTGTCTGACTACCTCAGGAGCCAGCGGGGCAGTTTTTCAAAGGAAACCCTGCTGGGGATGTGCCAAGATGTGTGCGAAGGAATGGCTTATCTGGAACAAAACTCTGTCATCCACAGAGACCTGGTGTGTTGGTCCCACATAGACTTTTTCTCTGCTCCAGCTGGGCTTTTTCCTGTGCTTTCTCCCTTCCATAATTTCAGCTTTCACGCTTTTCCTGCCTATCTGCTGACAGGGGATCCGGTATCTCCCTTTATTGCAGAAGCAGCATCAGTACTTTAGGGGGAAAAAGCATCCCCTGGAGCGCTGATTAATCTATTTTCCTTGATTTTGTTCAGGAGAGAAGAAACGAGGACATACAGTTCGTCTCTTTTTCTGAGTGGGCTCTTTTGCTCTCCGAGAGCCCCAGCTCCCACACTTCCCAGGGACTGACCACTCTGCATGTCTAAAATCAGTGAAGATGCCAAAAAGACCTGTTTTAACATATGCATAAACGTGCATTGCTGAAAAAATACTTTTAAATACATGGTGTTTAATCAATCTGCATGAGTCACTGCTGCAGGTTTTTTTAGGGGAGCAAGGACTGTGGGTAGCTGGAGATATTTTAGAGTCTTGCCCTTTCTGGGCAACAAGGGCCTGCAAGTCAGACTGATGGCTGAATAGCTTTCTTGGCAACAGGAGCATGCTGGCCATAAAATGTACAGAAAACATGAGACCCTCAAGTTTTCGGCCTCCTTGTATGGTGTGATGTCACTTTGATCTTCTTTCTTTTAAGCACTATCTGCTCTGCCAGGATAAAAGCAACTGAGTGGCTGTGATGATCGTCCTTCAGCTCTGACCTCCTGCTTTTGCACCTTCTTTTCTTGCAGGCCGCTAGGAACTGCCTGGTGGGGGAATCCCACGTGGTCAAAGTGTCCGACTTCGGGATGTCGAGGTAATGTCACTGAGGCTGTGCACACTCCCTGCGGGGCTGTCATGGGACAGCGGTGTTACTCAGCATGCTCCCTTCTTTTCCTTTCCAGGATTGTCCTTGACGATCAGTATACCAGCTCCACGGGTACCAAGTTTCCAGTCAAGTGGTCTGCTCCAGAGGTTTTCTCCTACAGCAACTATAGCACCAAATCTGACGTTTGGTCATTTGGTAAGAATCAATTGTCAGAATGGAAAAAAATTCTCAGAAAAACCTAGAGACTCAGTCCTCAAGTAAACTGTCCTAAACATTACATCCTCTGGGCTCCAAGCGTGTTTTGCCTGAATAATGGCTTAGGAAAGCAAGCCTAAGTCATTTAAGTGAAAGAAAGGAAAGAATAGCAAACTACCTAGACACTTTGGAACACTGCAAATACTGCCAACTTAATGTATTATACCCATGCAATGTTATATAATACCAAACAATGAACTCTGTTTCATGATGATATAGCAGGAGTGTCCAGGAAAAGGTTGGAGAGTCACTGACGAGATTGTATACGGAAAGGAAAGACATTTAGGCACTCCATCTCTCTGCATGTCAGTCCTGAGCACCGATGCTTCACTCAAACCCTCCGCCTTTCCAAGTTTGCTCTGCTGACTCCATTTGCTTTATGCCAATCTGAAAATATTATTTCACTGCTCACATTTTCTCACCTCATTTCCTGCTCCCCAATGCATTGTTTTATGATTTGCATCTGTTCTTTGGTCTCCCTTCTGGGCCTTCATAGATAAGAAAGCCATTGTATATTTTTTTGCCCAAAGTCATCGGTACTGGCGATAACAAAGGCTATCCCCTGGCCTGTTGATCTGGCACACTAATGTATCTGGCCCATCTCCAGCTAGCATGCAAATCGTGGTACTGCAGGATGAATCGGTGCAGTGTGCTGTGCACAGCACACAGTCAATGGGGTGCCACTCAGCTCCGGGCCTGGCAGTAAATAATGCAGGATTATAACCTTTGCTAGTCTGCACTTGTGAATGCTGTGCTTCCCTCTCCCTTTACCGTGCTCTGCTGCGGAGCTCACGCTGGCTGAAGTTGTTGCAGTCCTGTGGTGGGTTACGAGCAGCACAGTGGGAGCTGGGTGCTTAGACCCATGCAGCTGCCCTTGTGAACCCAACCCAGAGATCTTTCTGAGAGCACCATTCCTCTTTCTGTGTCCCCTGGCATATGGAGGAGGCTGTTGGCACTCACCACCTAATAACAAGGGACAACATTTGCCCGTGGAGCTCTCTCTGACACCTCACAGCAAAGTGGCAGTGACGTGGGGAGAGATACTACTTTGGTAAGAATGTTCTGCTTCACAAATTGAAACTGGCCTGTATGCTGAGAGCCAGATGCTTCCAAAAAGGCTGCTCAGTTTGATTTACAGTCGAGCCAAGCCTGGTGAAGTTGGCTCACTCCAGTTTCAGGGCTGAATGAAATACCGGTGAGCTTTGTTTGTGTTGGTCAGTCCTTTGTGAAATGTGCAGACAGCAGTGTAGTACATCTGTCAGACCTGTTATCTCCCCATCCAGTGGAGTTTGCATAAGAGGATTCCTCTGTCATGTCATGGTCTCATGACTGTGAGAAGCTTTCTGCTCCGCTACTCTGCAGCCCATTCATCTCTTCTGCCAGGCCTGAAATCCTGCTGTGCCCAGGAGAACACGATGGGTGTGAGAAATTCCCAGTGCAGGAATCTGCACACTGGGGGAGTAAAACTGCTTTGCTTATCTTCAGTAGAGCCAATATCATTGGTGAGGAGCTGCAATCCCTATGCATCTTCCTATTTGAAGCATGCAAAGCTGGAAAGCAGGCACTGTTTAGCAAAGTTCACTGTGGAGTTACACAACTTTATTTCAGATCAGTCTATTGGTCTGTCTCCCTTTTCTAATACAATGTGAACATAGTTTACCAAGCCAGTCATATTAGGTGACCAAAGAAATGAAACCTAATAATAACAACACAGATGCCTTGCATTCACTCCATTTGCAGAGCCTCTTTGATGTGGTGACCAACCGCAATGTATTCCACGGTCTTTTTGTCTTTGCTTGTCTCTTTTCCACCACACTAGAGAAGCACAAGTTTCTGTACTGCTCTGAACAGTAGTCACAGGAAAACATTTGACTGTTTTAGGAAAAAAGGAAAAATGTACTGCAATTCTTTGAAATTCCACTGTCATTGCATGTGAATTCATCCCAGTGAATCACATCATCTGGGACATTTTGCAGGCGAGGAGTTCCCAGTACTGAGGCTGAGCTGTCTACCAGGAATGGAGTACTTCATATTGCTTTCTTGCTCCTGAGTCTCACAAAAACACAAGCAGATTCCTGTTTAGGACACGCTGCAGGCAGGAACATCAGTGACACGTCTCTTGTATGTGAATAACTGGAAGCAAAAATAGATAAATTGAATCAGTGACAAAAAGTGGGTTCTTTTTCCCAGATTACACATCTAGATGGAGTACATGCACAGGCATTGCCTCTTCTTCACTGTTTGGGAGAAGACATATGACGCTGCTCTGCTTTCTGACATGTAACGCACTTAGACTTCATGGGGAAAGATGTCCCTGTCATGCTAGACACTCATGAAGTAGGATGCAGAGAAGGCAAACTTGCAGTGATCTAGACCGGTACTTGTACACAGTCCAGTACCCGGCAGAGATCCTATCTGGCATCCTCAAACTGTACAGCTGTGTTAGGGCCTGATTTTTCAGATAGGTACTGAGAATCTGAGTGAAAATGCTTTTTCAGGTAATAGACACCAACACTGAGCTGCAGAGAAGAGCAGGTGGAATGTGGCCATGGGCCTGCTGAGGATTTTATTTGCTGCTTTGTGATTTTTCTCATTCGTTTGCTTTAGGAGTGCTGATGTGGGAGGTCTTCAGTGAAGGTAAAATCCCCTATGAGAACCGCACCAATGGAGAAGTGGTGGAAGAAATCAATGCAGGATTTCGGCTCTACAAACCCAAGCTGGCCTCCAAGGCAATTTATGAGGTCATGAGCCACTGCTGGAGGATGGTTAGTATTCTGTTGGGAGAGCCCTAGCTCCCAAAAGCAAGAGCTCTCTTCCCCTTGACTTTTAAGAGGAGAGAGAGGTATACATTTCACATGCTAACACAAAATAAAATCCTGGAGGTGAAGCACTTTGTAGCTGTCATCTGCGCTAGCAAGCAAACTCTAGGCTCTTTAGCTTTTATTTAAGCTGCTGTTTCTACAGAGTGTGTTGACTTCACTGAGAAGTCTATGTAGTGCACCTAACTCAAGTTAATTCAACAGTTTGCTTCCTGAGAGAGGTACGGATCTGTGGGGCTGAGTTTTAATAGTGATGGTAAAAATGACAGCCAACCCATTACAAGGTACTTAGTGTCCACTAGGCAAAATTCACTGCTAGTAGAAAAGAAACATTGCACAGAAGGAAGCTCGTTCTTCCGTTGGCACCTTCTCTGTAACAATAGATTGTATTTTTGTTAATACTCAGTTTCTTCACAAGGTTTTCCTCCCTAACCTTGCCATCCCTCTCAAGCTGACATTAATGTTCTCCCTCTCCCTTCTCTCCCCTGCTCAGAGGAAAGATGACCGGCCATCCTTTTCTGTTCTGCTGTATCAGCTGAGTGAAATCTCTGAGTTTGATCTGTAATCATGGCACTGGCTGCTAAGCGAAGCTGAGAGAGTCCCAAGAGGGCAGATGGCTGGATTTTCCCCACACAAAGCATTAACAGGAATCCTCTCACCATAGACACTTGCCATATGCCTGAGGACAAGGAGAGGGCAGAGGCCGGTACTTCCAGACAAACAAGATATCCCCAGGTCTTCCAGAGCCCAGACAGACACAGGCTTTGGTTTGGCCAAGAATGTGGTTTGCATCTTACAAGCAAATTGAGCACAGAGTCCTGAACCACACAATCCAGCACGTGTATTTCTCCTGAAGATACAGCCTCAAAACTCAGAGATCTGACATTGCTGTTCCGGTTCTGTGAACTCCCTAATTAAGGTCTTCCCTGGGGAAAAAAAACCCTGTCTTTGAGGAGGAACATTTAGACATTTCCATGGCTCTTGAATTCAGAGTGGGCTGGACCTGAAAGCTCTGAAGAGGAATAAGCCTGGGACACAGGGGAACAGGCTGGATTTAGTGACTGCATTTCCGATGGTCATATTTCAAGGCGGTTTTGTTCTCCCTTTGCACGAGGCATACCAGGTACCCGGTAAGCTGATGAGGTGTCTGCGTGTGGATGCAAGTTTGTCAGGAAGGAAGAGAAAATGCAATGTGTTGAAGTCTTGAAATTCTCTCAAATTGCATTGTATAGTGAGTGGGAAAATGGCACTCTCTGATGCAAATGGAGACATTCTTGGAGGGGGGAGTCAAAGTTGAAAGTTTGTATTAGTTTTTTCTTCAGTCTTTCTACATCAGAATATCTTGATCCCAATCCAATTGCTTTGAACTGAGTCTGGAGGACTGAGCAGAGCAGAGTGCTATGTGTCTCCAGTGCAGGACAAGACAGGATCCTAGGACCTGATTATCTGTGAAAGGCACAGGAACGTTCTCCTGAACTCGTGTGTTTGGAAGGAAGGAGCCGGAGGGCTCAGAAGAGTAGCCATGAGGAGAAAATATGCAGAGTATGTACTCAGTGCCCCAGCAATAATGAGAAGAGTTTTCTCCTACTTCAAAGAGTAACTGAATCATCACAAGTAAAGACTTTTCCATCTCTTCTGTGAATAAACTAGTGAATCCTCTAAGGACTGATCAAAGAAAAAGTCACATGTGAATGGTCTGCCTGGGCACTTACTCCACGAGGAGTGGGGACAGCAGAAGAAGGTATAAACCCATCTCCTGGTACTTCAGTGAAAATCTACTTTTTTCGCTGCAAGAGACACTGTTTTGGCATAACTGATCACAAAACCAAAAGTGTGAGTGTTAGTGTCCCAGAATTTGTAAATAAGATCAGGACTTTCTGCTTAGCATTACCAATTACTAGAGAAGTCATGAGGACTCACAGATGAAATGTGTATACATGCAGTATTTTTTTGGACGCTTCTCTGTTTGGGCAGGTGAGAACATACGTAAACCTTATGTGACAGCAGTTTACAAAAACTCCAAGATGCAAACTTCCAGCAGCAACCTCTCCTGTCATTACAGAAGTCAGATTCAAATATGTTTGCCCACAAAAATGGAACAAGGAAATAATGTAATCCAGTGATCTCACATATCCTGTGTCAAAATATTTCTTCATAGAAGGAGGCTTAATTTTTGATATTTTTCAGACCCGTGGTTCTAGGGTAGCTTTTATGAGCCAGAATATCTTTTCAGGTATATGGATACGGGCAAGGCATTATTTTCTGCCTTACACATCCTCCCACTTTGCTTTGATTCCACATTATTTTATTTGGTTTACTCCTACAAATATCATGCAGAAGAACTCTCCCAGGCAAGGAGAATCCTAACACTCAGAACAGAGGTTGACAATCCTAAATGCAGGATCAGAGTGCTACCTTCAAATCAGGATTGCTGCCAAAATCTTTTGGTAGTCTGAACCAATACATGGAATATGAGCATCTACAAACAGATTTAGAATTTTTGCCTACAGTGAATTTAAGCTCAGTTTCTCTTTATCCCTCTCATCCTTTAGTCTGAGTTGACCTGTTGTCACATTCTGGTGATGCTAAATTTGGCATTTAGCCACTGAAGTTTTCAGTAGCCCTAACCATGTTAAACTGCACATCTACAGCTAAGGACAGCTGGCCATAACCGTATTTTCTCCCCATCTCCATTGCACTTAGACAACCACGTCCACAATCCGTACAACCGCAGGATACTCTGAAACAATTCTTCCCTGAGCACAGACATTGTGGCAGGGGTATTTGCAGGGTCACAAATTTAAGCTTCTGGCTTGCTGCCCCCTCCGTCCTGGGAGGAACGAGGGGCCTGTCAAGCTTGAGGAGGTTGCTATTAAAATGCTCCGCCAGGTAATGTTTCTGAAATTATATTTATATTTGTGTAAGTGTAATATTTATTAGCTAGTTGCACAAATATAATATTAGTTGCACAAAATAATAATGTGATGTTTTATGTTCAGTTTTCTTTTGCAGTATTTCTATGTACATGATATGTATTTTTACAAACAATAAAATCATGGAGTCCCAACTGTGGCTTTCACTGTATGTTAGCAAAAATGAAAAAAACCATCCTCATGTGCTTATAATCATACAGCTTGCTCTTCCTCCAAATTCTCCCCACCGAGAAGCAAACAGGCTTCTTCTGGCTTTCTGAAATATCTCTCTTCCCCAGAACTATAGCTGTGTTCTGGGATTAGATTATGTACTGGGTTTCTGGGGGTGGGAAGTATTCAGAATCCCTGCAAATTGGGTAATTTACTATATGGACACATAGATTTTTAAGTCTAAACATCCATTGTGGTGGCTTTAAATTCTCTGAATCTTCATAAAATGGGGGTAGTAATATTTGAGTGCTCCCGAAGGATGGTACCCCACAGTTATTTACAGGGGACTTCAGGAATCTCAAAAGGCCAGTGCCATACTGCGATAATTGCATATTAATACACTGTAACACGGTCTTTTCCCACCACAGCAGCTTCTATGGCAAGTTCTGGCTTGTGCCTTTCACGTGGCTTAACTGTAGATGTTCTCCACAAAGTCGAAGTGCGAATATCAGCTGTCTCCTGCCGCAAAGTGAATAACCCTTCTCTGAATACCCCTTCTCTGTCTCCTTGGGAAGTATCTGCAACGTGCTGAACATTTAAACCATTACGCCTTTGCCAGTTTGACCCTCTTTGCTCGGCTGTACTGCAGAAAGGTGGGAGTTTGTGCGTGTCCCTACTTTTGCTTGCTGCTTATCAGAGGCGGTGGGTGCACGGCTCTGCCTACATTGCGCGTTTGGCTGGAGCCGAGGCCCAGAGCACCGTCCCAGCACGTCCCCGACCTGCTGCTGCGATGGCGTCCCAGCAGGGAACAGCAGCAAGCGCTAACCACATCTACAAAGAGCAGCTGGTGCTTCTCAGTGGAGACCAGGGGCTGGAGCGCGGCAATGTTAGCCATGAAAAGCTCTTTCCTGGGCATGACTTGGTCGTTCTGGGGAAGTGGGGGTTGCGGGTGTTTGTGCCAGTGACTAATTACCTTAAAATCAGGCCTGAAAAAAATCTAGAATCTCCTGAAACATTTTTAGTGAACATGTTTCTATGTGGTTTCGTCCTCTCTGAACGCTTCTTTCTACAGCACAGCAGGATTCAGGTGGATGGCTCTTCTAAATCTCACTTGGCGGGCACTTCAAATTTGTGTGTATTCTTCTGTTCAGCTCACCCCACCATCGTGTTATCTCGCCCCTCCACACATAACCAGCTGATGCACACACTCCTGCGCCTGTAGCTGTACGGGGCCTGCCTCTTGCTGCCTTTCTTCCCTGAGAGATCCACACAACAACTGCAGAGAAGCTCATTCTACTATTCTATAATCTAAGACAACATAGAGTAGAAAATTACAATAATACCGTAACATTGATGGAATTCCCATCACCCTGAGCCTGGCTGATAACAGAAGCAGATTAAACTGTGCAAAAAAATAGTCCACAGCAGTTTTCACTGCCACAGTTTTCTTAAGCTGACCTTGTTTCACCCACAGCCTCAGAGCAGAATTAGCTGTTAAATCTTTTGGGTCTGCAGTAACAATGCTCACTTACTGATTTTTTCTGACAAGTAATAAATGGTAAAAAGAGGAATGATGGCTACAAAATGTTCCAGTCAAAGAAAGAAAGAAAGAGAAAGAAAGAAAGAAATGCTGTGCAGGGGAATCTACTCTGAGAGATGCTATTAATAGATTTTTTTCAGGTGTGGTCCTGTTTATTAAAACAAAGGTAATTTCTAAGACCATTTCTAAGACTGTCTTGCTGCATTTGTATTTTGCAGACCCCAGTGCCTTCAGCCCATGGCATCCATTCGACCTAGAGTAGCAGCGCTACAGTGTAAACCCGATGTCCAAGCTTCCCTGCGGAGCCAACACGTACCCATGGGAGCAGGCTCAGCCCCACACTAGCACGGACCACAGAGCAGCAGTCCCTAAGGTCTCAGGAGCGGTCACTAATGCAGGAGGGGTCTGATGACAGTCCATTTTTAGCATAGGCTGATGCTCAGGAAAGGGACACTGTCAGGGGCACCAAGGAAGTATATCTAGACCTGTATCTAGACTTTCAACAGTTTTGGGGTATCCACTAATGTCTTTCAACAAAGAAACAGACAACAGCATCAGAAGCTGACAGGGCTGCAGAAAAATGAATGAGGGCCGCGTACAGGGTTTCTATCAATCACAACAAGGCGATGTTCCTCTGAAAGCTGTAAGAGGTCCAGTTTGGATTTCACAGTAAATCTGAAGAGCTATATTGGAGCTTTAAAAAGAAGCATGAACAGAAGGACTAGAAACTTGTCCCTGAGGAAATGCCAGATGCCAAAAATGCCAAAAGGAAGATCTTTTAGATGCGGTGCTGACTGAGAAGAGGCTTGGAGCTCTCAGCAAAGGCATCACCTTCTGGTTTTGGTGCCTAACACACTCCGTGATCCAAAGCTTTATACGTATTCTGTAAAACAGGGCTTTCGTTAAAATGGTAGGTAAAACCTAACGGTGGCACCGGTCCTC